TCTTTGCCATGGGCTGGTTGGTTTGTCATTTCTAGAAAGCTGCTTTTTTCCATAGTAGATGGTCATGTTCTCATTATCAGCTTCATCATTCGACTCCTCTTGGACACAGCGTGTGACTGGCTCAGGCTCTGGGGATAATCAGGTTGCCAAGACAGCTGAGATCAGCTGATTGTTTTAATTCACCTGTTTTCCTGAGGATGTCCCGGCCCCTCTGCTCTGGTCTGGTGAGATCCCACTTGGAATCCCATCCAGCTCTGTAGTCCCAGCACAGGAAGGACATGGAGCTGCTGGAGCGAGTCCAGAGGAGGCACCAGGACGATCAGAGGGCTGGAGCAGCTCTGCTGGGAGGAAAGGCTGGAGAGCTGGGATTGTTCAGCCTGGAGAAAAGAAGCTTTGGGGTGACCTAATTGTGGCCTTGCAGGACCTGAAGAGAGAGACTGTTTCCAAGGGATGGAGGGACAGGACACAGGGAATGGCTTCCCACTGCCAGAGGGGGGTTAGATGGGATATTGGGAAGAAATTCCTCCCTGTGAGGGTGGGAAGGCCCTGGCACAGGTTGCCCAGAGAAGCTGTGGCTGCCCCTGAATCCCTGGAAGTGTCCAAGGCCAGGTTAAAAAGGGCTTGGAGCAACCTGGGATAATGGAATGTGTCCCTGCCCACGGCAGGGTGAGGGCCTGGATGGGCTTTAAGATCTTTTCCAACCCCAAACATTCTGGGATTCTCTGATTATTTCCATGTAGTGGTCAGATCTGTTGGTCTCAGCAGAGCCCCAGGTAAAAAGGGCAATCACAGGATCATGGAATCATTAAGGTTGGAAAATCCCTCTAAGATCACCAAGTGAGCCCCTCAGCCCCTGAGCCACGGCCCCGAGGGCTCCTCATGCCAGGGGGGTGTGAGCTCAGCCCTCCTCCCCACTGCAGTCCTTGCAGGTGGGATAAGGGACCTAAATCCTTGGATAGGTTTATGGAGGTGAAGAGAAGTGGTGGGGAAAGGTGGGATTGAAGAGAAGTGGTGTTTCTCAGGAACACCAAAACAAACCAAGCCCACTGAGCATCTATTAAATCAGATTATTTCTCCCCCCTAGGAACCAGCCTGAGTTCACCACTTCCCTTTCTCTGGTTCTTGCTCACCCACAGCCCTGCTTGGGAGCCATTCCTGGGCCCAGGCCATGGGTTAAGAGGTGACCTGGCAGCCAGGGCCGTGCCTGGTGTCACACCAGCTGCTCAGGGCTTCCCTGGCTCCTGCTCCGCTGAACAAACACTCCAAACCCCAAATAAAGACAAAGCTCCACCAAAATCAACAGCTGCTCCAGAGCCAGGCAGGGCTCATTAGCTCAGAGCAGGTGCTGCTGCAGGTTTCCATCCATGGCATCCAACAATCTGCTCAAACCCAGCATCAGGGAAGCCCAGGAGGGAAGAAACCACCCCTGGAATCCATGTGTAGCAGTGGAAGTGTTATTTTCGTAGCTGGTACTCAGGGTTTTGCTGCCTGTGGTTCGTTTTTTTTCACTTCCTACGCCCAAAATGTCACTCACCCAGAGGCAGGGGTCCCCCCAGTGCTCATAGTTCCATAGTTGGGCCCAAAAACCCCAATTAATGTGAGGGCTCACCCTGCCAGGTGCCCCAGAACCCCCTGAAGGACAGCAGTTGCCCCGAGGGGCAGCACAAGCAGATGTTTGAGTCCCCTACATTCTTCCCCCAGAGAATTTTTCCTGCCTATTCTAGAAAGTCAGAGCTTTACGGGGAAAAAAAAACCAACAAAAAACACCTCCAGAGCTTTTAGAAATTCTATCCCAATGTAAGTTTTCCAAGGGTTCAGGAACACAAAGGTTCCTTTCCAGCTGTGCTGCAGGCAGGGAGTCGCCTTCTAACTCCAAATCCCCCGACCCCAAACATCTCAGCTGCTTTTGTGCTCGTGGGCACTCAAAATTTGAACTGGACTTTGAGTGCCTCAGACAGGCCTGACAACCACAGTCGAGTTTTGAAGCCACAGGGCCGCTTTTTGAAACATTATCCCGATTTTGTCTCCTAGTAAATAAGTTGTTTTAAAGCTGAAATCCTAAAATCACTGAGGCTTTCAGTGACTGCCTCTGCCTTCGCTTTTTTTTTCCCCAGCCACAAAGCCAAATTATACAGGGTATATCCCATGTAATTCCTTTTCTGGCCCTATCTTATCTCCAGCTCTTAGCTGATGTGATTGAAAAACTCTGCCATTCCGTGACAGAAATCCCAACAGGGAGCCCTAAAGGGTTCTTCAGGAGCAGGTCCAGTCATTGTAAAATGGTGCTCCCTCTTTAGATATGCGTTTTTAGATAATTTAGTAGATTTATTTAGATAATTTATTAGTTGATTGGGTTTTAATTCATTATTTTTATTTATAGGAAAAGGGGAAAAAAAGCAAATTGCCTCTCTAGCTGTGTTGGAGCAGAGTGGGGAGTGGGTGTGGGGGGGAAGAGAGGAAAATGTTTGGATGCACTTGGATGGGAACCTGTTCTATTTTGCAGGTCCCTAAAATCCCCCAGTTTTCCTGTTTGTTTCTTGCTGTTTTGGGGGTTTATTTTATATGTCCAGGGAGCTGTGGGTGTCACAAACCACATTCCAATGGACTGAGGTTGGAGGTACTGATGGAAAGGACTGGTGGAATGAAGTCGTAGAGGGACACAGCAGGAACTGTGCTGTGAATATTATTTATTTCAGATTGCAGCTCTCTGAAACCGGGTTTAAAACTGGTTTACTCACACAGTGACCCAGGAGAGCTCAGGTGAGACACAGATCCTGCACAGAGTCTCACTCCAATGCTGAAATGCTCCTTGGAAGCTCCTCAGGGCACGTGGAGATGGAATTCTCCAGGAGAAGGATGTGAGGTGGAATTCTCCAGGGGAGTGTTGTGAGGTGGAATTCTCCAGGA